ACCTGAGGAGGACCTCGTGCGCAAACTCTGACGTGCGGCTGTGATTTATAAAGGAAAGATGCACAGAAACGTGCGTACGCACGGTTTTATAAATCTGAATTATTTTTTTTTGGCGTACGCCATTTCCGCCTTTTGGCCGTATGTTCACTTTTAGTATGGTTTCCACGCAATCCTTTATAAATGAGACCCCAGTGCTGCGTTGTAAGTTTTGGAGAGCTGAAATCTGAGGCCTTCTATTTAAAGTCGTTTGTTTTCTCATTTGATAAATGGCTTCCTTTACGCCTCTCTCAACCCACCTGTCTTTTCTGTTCAAAACATGAACATGTTGGTCCTCAAGAGTGTGCTTTATCACTGATGTAGATGCACACCTGAATATCAAAAGCCTTCCAGGCCAAATACGTGCAAACATTTCATTGTCCCAGTGACTATATAAGGGACTATAGGGGAGATAGTTTTCACTCATGGTGCTGACTTACCTTTGATATGTTCAGATTAAACATGAAACGTGAAATACAAGGAACAACAAAATATATTTAGATCAGATTTAACCACACATGTAGATTTGCACACTTTATAAGGCCACAAAAACTCATATTTTATCAATTTATAAATGTCCCATGAGCCTTAGCTACTGGACTGTATGGCAGACGTTCTCCAAATGTGCAGACTAAAATAAAAGCGGGCCACCACACTGGCTGCTAGCTTAATCGTTAAAAATAAAGGACTTTACAAGTATTTGTATTTCATGTATTATATTACTGCATTTGGCCCGCAGCCCCGGATAGATTTTCATTTTGGCCCTCTTGGGGAAAATGTTTGGGCACCTCTGGATTAGAAGATCTACTGTTTCCTAAAACACAAGCGTGAACTTCTACATACAAGTTTAAAAGAAATCATTTATCCAACATTAATTTTTTTGATAAGACAATATGTGCAAAAACACACAAAAAATACAATTGAACAGAATTGAAACATTAAATTCAGATGTTTTGAACTTTTTTATAATCTTTGTCATTTTTGAACATCATCGTTATACAATCTGATTCTTAATTACCTAAATAAATGTTCTTAATCTGAAATTATTCATTGCTCTGTCTTCAGTAAGTCAATAACAGTATTTAAAATAAATTTCTTATTTATATAAAAATGAAGAAATAAAGGCAGTTCAAAGTGGGGAAAAAGCTGATTAAATTCAAGATGTTTATATGTTTTGTTCAAAAGAATGATGAATATTTTGAAGTTGTGTGTGGACATCTTCATCTTCAAAAAAACAAAAATATCAACAGAAACACAAAAGTAAGAAATTAAAAATTTTAATTTTCAACTTAGGTTATGTTTTTTAACACTGAAAGCTCACAATGTTTGGGTTCCTACTACATCAGATGGATGTAAATCTTGTTGCACAGAATACCTGCTTTAATCGTTTTTTTTTTCCTTTTGTTTCTGGAAGATAAAAAAAGAATAATTTATTTCTTTGTAAACTTTCATAGCACTACAGAAAAAATACACGGCCAGCGTTTGAAATCCCGGCGCCTGCTTGGCCTGGAGCGGACTGGGTTCTGGGTCACCCAGATCAGTCATCTTGGCAGGATGAGATATGATGATTGTGAGGAAGAACTGGACTGCCTCAGGACTTTTGTAATCCTGAAGTGAAAAAATAGGCCATCATTTGGGCTGCTAAAGTTCTTAACTGGCCTTTATTTATAGATGATTTTAACATTTGTATCTTAAACATAATATTTATTAATGACTAAAAATCAGTCCCTGGAGTAATTAGGATTTTAAGTTTGTGGGAGATGCTGCTAAAAACAAACAGCTTTAAAACAGCATGTGTTGTGTTTCTTCAGGTTGCTGCTGGAGGAGCTGGAGGCAGATGTTTCGCTGTACGCAGGTTCAGGTTCAGTTCGAGCGCACCGAGCCGTGCTGCTGGCCAGAACTCCTCACATCCTGCAGGGACAGACACACAAAGATCCCATCATCATCCACCTGCCAGGCTATGACCTCCCTGCACTAAAAGATTTCCTAAGGTGGGCACTGGGGGGCCTCTTGTATTTCCTCTCCATATAACAGCTTATAAATCTCCTAAATGCATCCACCTTTTAGTGGCTCCACAAAAACTTCAACTCTGCAGCTGCATCTGCTTTCAGAGGTTGTTCCGTGTCCTCCAGGCAGAGGGCGCTGTGCTTCTTATTTATCCTGCAGGGCTTGCTTCTGTTTGCAGGCTTGTAGAGATTACTGGAGATGATAAAGCTGGAAAAGGAGAAATCAGATTTACATGTCAGTGTTGGCAACAATTGTTTGCAGTTAGAAGCTGAGTTGTTCTAGTGTTGTTTTCCATCATTTTCAGCAAAGCTTTGTATTTCAAGAGCTATTTAAAAACCTTGCTCTCTGTGAAGGAATGCATCGCTCATCTCTCATGTCAGAGCTTTAAACTAAGACTATTTAATGATGAGACGGTACAAAGTTTTGTTTTGTCTGACCAAACCTCATACTGTAAATCGGTGATTCCCAACCAGGGGTTCGTGTATCCCTCATATTACAGGCTGTAAGTGGACAAATTTCCCAGGTGTGGAAAAAAATAAAATAAAAATAGGACAGAGATTTGTAGGGCCCTATGATTTCCACAGTGCGGAATGTGCAAACGGAATCAGAAAATTGACCAAAAAATGGAAAATGCGGAATCTCGTAGAATTTGCTCATTTGGGGTGTTTGATGTATTTTGGACGCTGCTGTTTCCTGCACCTGCCATTACCTGATTTATTTATTTAATTACTTATTCACTTTCAAGGCAACGTACTGTATTTATCTTTATATTTAATTTGAGTTGAAAATAATTAAATGCCTGAGAATTAAACATTCTAGGGTGTTAAATAAATAGTTTTCATTTAATAATCAGGTGTTGTTCATTATAGTTTTGGAGAGTCATCATTTTATTTGACAGAGGGGGTACTAGTGGTATGACAAAATGGCTCATTGGGTACACAAGTTTAAAAATGTTATATGTTATATATGTTATGTATGATAGGTATTTTTCTAAAATACATACAAAAACAGGGGAGCAAATGAGACAATCAAACCATGGTTTAGAATCAAAGGTGAGGAGA